AAAGGAGTCACCCTTTGCTAAAGGCATAATAAGCACTATACAGGAGCACAGGGTACAGAGATTGAAATTTTTATTGATGATAAGAATTTCAGTGATATGCACTTATTTATACTACAAAAGACGCTTATTGAGACTTTTCTGTTTAATAAATACTATAAGTTATACAAAAGTACAAAGTAATTTGTTACTTAATAAGAGTTTCACAACATTTATAATGTCATTACTAGGCTGTACTATTACCGGGGGTTTCAACTTAAACTACTATTTAAATGAAAAGCATTAACAGTTTTATAAATATTTTCGGACAAAGAGAAACAGTAAATCTCAGAGACTGGTACTTTATTTTATTTACTCATTCTTCTATGACGGAATTGTGCCAAAATATTTTTAGCAGTATTTTTACAGTGAATTATCTATAGATTCTATTGTGAAGTGGGGATCTATCCCCTTATACCCTATTTCCCTGCTGACGTCACTACTACTAAATCTTTTTTTAAAATTTTAGTCTACATTATTAATCTTAAACTCCGTGACACTTGCCTACATGAAATTATTTTACTGACAGCACAACTTTATATTTTATTGTCGAAAAAATATTAATAATATTGTATATCATAATGGTATATCATAGATGCAGTGATTTTTGTAATTTTCAATACTTTGGTCAACTATTTTCATTATGATATATGTTAATATCAACGTTGTAGAATTTTAAAACAAATGTATTTTCATCTACATTCCTGAAAAAGTTTTGGACTGTACGTTAAATCCAGTGTAGTCTTTGCGGTTTCATAAATTGAATTAACTGTTTACAGTTTAGTAACTTTTAAATTTAGTATTCCATCGAATTCTTCATTTCTTCATTCTTCATTTTCAATTCTAATTATACTAAAAACAATTTATGATATTTCTGTCGAATTACAGTATTCTCTCCTTATTAGCTTACATTAGCATACATATTCCCGATTTTTCTCCTTTACACTTTGTTGTTACTAATCTAATTTCCAGAGATCTAAGTACCTTATTCTCTTTGTTCGTTGTTACAGTTTTTACATCATTTTCATTTTATAATATTGTATCCAAAAATAACAAATTTGTGAGTTCTTGATTAAAATTTTGTAGTTCTTGACTTGCTTATAGAAACATAGATTTCCATTAGTTAGTTAGTTAGTTGTGTTGGAGGGATGCCCATATTAAAAGCAAACTTCAGCCTGAAATATTGAGGTGGAATCTGAAAGATGGTATGATTTACTTATCATTAGGTCCGTAGAAAAGATTCCGTTTCCAACGCTCTCATCCATTTTAGACCCGTTGGTGTAGATCGTTATCTTTTCTAGACTTGTAAGCAATCCCACCTCTCAATCCCCTCTTGAAGGAATTTTGGTGATGAAGTTATTGTTAACTGTAACCAAGGACATAGGTAGTCTGAGTCCCTGCTATCATCTATCGGATAGAATGATGCAATATTACCATGTCCCAACGCAATCGAGCGCCAAGAGTTTAGATCATTAATTCTCTGCGCGCTGAGAGTAGCAACTTGCTTAATGTAAATATGAATAGGTAGCAAGTTAAGTATGACATTGAGCGCACTGGTGGGACATGATCTTAGAGCCACCTAGATTTCCATTATTTCTAATCAATTTCGATGTTATTTTTTGATGATATTATGATATTTTCATTGAATAATAATAAACCGTACTAAAGAGCCGTACTAAACTGTCAAACAGGAGTCTGCCTTAAATCGAATATTTTTTAAAATAGCAGACTGCATAATATTAAAGATGATAAGGTGCAGTATATCTATTAGTGGTATCCTTGTTGTTAGTAAGCTATTGACTTTTTCTTACGTATATTTGCAATCTAATTTGAAGTATCATTTCGTATTTTTTAGTGTTTTTGCAACCATTCTTACTAAACTTATACCTTGGAATGCCATAAATTTTAGCAATTTTGGAAATCTATTTTCTGTTTACTTTATCAAAATTTTATCAGACATTTACTCAAAGCATAGTAATGAAATATAAAATGAAATGCAGAACACTACACCAAGATTAACACATCTCTTTCTATAAGGTGTAGCGCGAAAAGAAAACTTATTCATAGAACATGAATAAAAGGCTTGCCTATACCTTTTATCTTGTTATACAGTGGCAAAAATAATGTTTTCTATGAAAAGTATTCGTAATGAATAACTTTTCTAAAAAAAAATACTAAACTTTAGTTATTGTTTTTTTTATATCCCCGTTCATCACTGTATTTATCCATAATTATATTTCATGGTATGAATTATTAGACCATATTTGTAAAAATTGTAAATTAGTTTCTTAGAAATTTTGTTGGAGTCCATTTTGATTCGAATATCATATCACTGCAATGGAAGCTAATGATAGGAAGATTGTCGGCCAACCCGGCATATCTTGTACCATCTCTCCTTAATGCATCGTTTTATGGTCTAAATGTACATTGCTTGAATTGTTGATTTCTTTTGTTGTTTCCTTGCGTTATGATTCTGCAAAGTGTCATTAAAGCATTTATGGCCAAGTCGCCCAGCATCTCTAATAAATGCCAATTACTAGATAAACGCGCACAAATGGTCAACGTTGCGTTATTAATTAAAAAATAGAGACGCGAACGTTTTGACAAATAACTACAAATAGTTATGGCGAAATGTGTAATTATTTAGGAAATGCTCAAAACAGTCAGATAAAAAGTTGTTTTAAGATATTAAAGACTTAAATGTGTGTTGCAGACGGCTTGTTTTGAAAAGCGTTTTAATTGCTAATTAAAATAACTGCAATTTTTTCATTTCTTTCATTTCGTTTTTAATATAAAACATTCCAAATTAGCAATTCATGTCTATATTTCATTATTAACACAGTTAAAGAGTGAAAATTAGTTGAATTTTATTAAAATGGAATATATGTCCAAAATATATTTATTTCCTGTTAACGGAATAGTCTAGAAACTGATGTATTCACAATTCTAAGTAGTACACACATAATATTTGATTTTATTTTATTTTTTTTTATTTTATTTTATTATATTTTAGAATATACACAATATTTGTGAAATATTCACAAATATAATAAATAATAAAATAATAATTACATGTAATTTTGGTTACAACATAACATGAAAGATAAAATCATATATCTGTAGTGAAATCAATATAATTTGGGTCATACTTCAAGAACTCAGCTGACTATGAAAGTGGTTTAATCCAGTCAGCTTTGTACTTGAGTCAGGCTTCAACCTGAAAGTTTCATAAAGATTATGTATTTTAAGTCCCTTATAACACCGTATATTTTTACACTAACCGAATTATAGTTTTTAAAATTAATTGTGCTTTTTAGAAACGGTGTTTATAATAATTTCAAATTGAAACTATTTACGTAAAATTTATGAGATCTTATAATGAGTTAATTAATTACTTTATAAAGTTTAAAAACAAAATTGTCACTTTTAATCCGTTATGTTTAACCTAACTTTACAGTGTCACATGTGTTTATCATTGCTACATTACACTATTAAATAGAGAAATTTAAATAGAGAACAACTCAAAAACTTCTATAAATATAAACTATTTTCGTCGTAGGAACGAACAAATTTGGTATATAAAGTATTATAAATTAAAACTTTAACTGCGCAATAGTTGAAGTGCAATAGATTCAGATTAGATTAAGTTGAGAGTTCACACGTTAACACAAATACCAATACTTCTACTCGAAAACGTATATTTTCCAAAAAGATAGCAGTAAAAGGTGAGATAAACTAACCGTTGTTTTCATTGTAACGCCGTGCACTGTCATGAATGCTCCTTGCCATTTGCGACTCAAAACTAACTGATTTCCATATTTTAGAATCCAATCATAGCGATAAAATATTAAATATTATATTTAAAGCTTCTTGAAGTATATTCCTTACAACTCTTAAAATACCCAGACACATTTTTTTGCTCTGTTTGTCATTCAGCGTCGTGTTCTTTTCGTATACGATGTACGCAGACAATCTCTATAGTTCGACAAAAGTGCTTTTAAGGACATAGTTATCAGATTAGGCACTCTTTGAAATCGGTGAAATTGAATAAGTCCATTATAACAAAGAAAATCTTTCTTTTCTGCTAATCAAATTACAAACTAAACGTTCTCTCAGTTTCAGTATTTTAAAATTAATTATTTCAACCCAGTACCAGATAGTTCTCTTGGCGATACTGAAAGACACAGAATAAATAAACTGTGTGCCACAAAATTGTCAAAACAATCTTGCAGAATACACGTTTATATAAATTTAATTAATTGAAGATATGCAATCTGGGCACTGAAAATATCTTACAAAAATATATGGCCTTATACTATAAGCAGTTAATTTAAAAAAGATACTCTAAAAAAGACGATTTGATTCAGTATTCAACAGTTAAAAAACACGGTTTAAAAGGCGATAGTGCACTTCAGCTGTCTTGTTAAAGAAAGAAATTTTGGAAAGAGAATTACGATGTACAGTATATACATTGGTATTGAGATGTATACTAAAATATATTATTGTGTTGCAAATCGTGGTGCAGTTATCTTAATTCAACATCTTAGCAGAAATTACTTGAAAACTAACCACTATGGTAATAGTAGTACAAACTGTTGGCGTTATACTTATAAAAAAGGATTCGGTGTTCTGAAATTTCGCTATAGCAACTTTACATGCAACTAGAGAAGTTGAGGGGCAGCAAAATAACTGGTTGCTAGAACTGACGAAAGTATGTAATTGCCATGCAATATCAATGTTTAATTACCTTGATTGCATCGAACGTTCAACGACTTATATTTTAACGTAATATGATTTACCTTAGTTGAAACTCTGTGTGGATTATATACTTCGTTTGAACTTCATAATCTTAAATAGAACATAAAAAACGTGTTTCATTATTAATCAAGTATACATAGAAACTTAGAATTTGATATATGAAATAAAATATATCAACAAAAATTTTCAAATAGTCATAAATTTTTAAAAAGACTAAAAATTGTTTCAATTTTTTAGCATTTATTTTAACTCCAACTGATTTTCAAAATGAAGTCTAATGACAAATGCCCTCGTGAGCGTATGTTAAGCGAATTCCAGGATGAATACCGAAGGATTCCATTTATTCCACCGCCACGTAAGCGAGATAAATTAATTTTACTGTTTAACTAATCTGCAATGGATATATATTATTTTTGCAGCTACTCGTTTAAATACATTAAAACGTTTTATGTGGGACATACTATTGGATGAGTATATGATATCATGCGCAGAGGCTGTTGCTCCTATTCTAGTAAAAGATGAGTCTGAGTACTATGATCGTTTTTGCAGTCATATTACTTTTCCGTTTGAGGAAGCTCAGCGAGCTTATCTCAAAAGAAAATATCCTTTGTATAGCACTCGTGCAATTACTTGTTACAACAAAAGTGGTGATCCTAGGCAGGAGTTTAAGAGGCGTTCCACAGTTACAGTACCTGTTCAACTGCAAAATGAACAATTTGGTTGATAACTGGTTGATAAACTTTTATATTTTGTAGCAAAAACGAAATTTCCAAAAAAAGAAGAATAAAAATCATTTGTAAGTTTCTAGAATAAATTTTTTTTTCTCAACTGAAATGCATTGTGGTTTTATTTGTTTTCTATATAAATGATTCTGACAAGTAATTTAACAATATTGTAAATATTTCTTTTAATAAGGGAATTTTTCTGTAAAGTATTGCATATTAAGATAAATATCATCAGGACCAAACAACAATAAAAGTTCTAATTTAGACACGACATGATATACTAGTTGTATGTTAAAGATGAAAAGACTGACATCATATTTGCAAATTAGATTTTTTGGTCATGAATATTTATTATTTATTAGCTTCCTTCATTTGAAGTGCGAAAACTACGATGTCGTCTGCTTAAATAATTTACCTAAAAACCGAATTAATTTGTTTATATTTGACTAAAATAAAATTTTCTATTTTTAAAGCATTGAAACTATTTTCACTGCTTTATTTACTTTGTGTATAAAGAGGAGTTTACATTTTTATTGCAATAATTATATACTCTGCTTTATTATATTATTTATTTTGAAGCAATTACTTACTGTCTCATGGCTTCTGCGAAAAAACTGATTAAAAACAAGCACTGAGACGAAATCTCACTGATACGAACTACATTAAGTGAAGTACTGTAATCTTCTTTACTGCCTTTCAGCGCTGTAATTATATTCATTAAAAAATAAAAGCTACAGTAAATTTTTGCTTAATGCCGAGTTTATTTCATGCCGTCTACTGATTCTACTGAAGCTGACTGACATGGTTCCGTCTTCTTCCACACAAATCGAATCAACTTCTTTGTCGTTCGCGAGCGTACTTCGAAATCGATTAAAACTTAACAATCTTGCATTACAGTAAACAGCATATAACAGCAATAATTACTATAATTATTCGGTGGCTGCATTGTCTCTACTCCGATTAAAATAAGATTTCTGACGAAAGAAAACAGAACTCCGAGGAGGCAGATATCAGATATGTACTTTGAAATGCACACCGAAAAGAATACGCTTCGGATATTTATACGAGTACGCGATAAATAAAAGAGGAATTATTCGCGTACAAACAAACTGCTTTAGTTTTTAAAATTAACTTGTATTTTCTTTAGTTTAAACATAAATTTCATGTGCCTCTTTTTTTTAAATAAACAAGTCAAAATGAAATTAACTTAAATTGAACTGAACTCAAAAAAAATGTATTTTATAAGATAAATATTTAATGCAACGTTACTCGTCCCGTTATTTGCAATTAAACTGCAATTACAGCAGATACGAACGAATTCGGTGGGATAAATATGTGAATAAACATTTGCGCATATGTAATCCATATTTACCGATACCGGAACACGTCCGGCTTTGCATGTTGGCTGCAAAAATATTAATAAGCAATAAAAATGTTTAAAATTAAAAACATTTTGGTATGAGTAAAGTTTTATTTAAGGCTGAAATATCGATTTGTCGGCACGATAGGAGCGAGGAGCGCGCACTCCGATGCGTTAATTCGCTAATAAAGTGTGTAAACACATAATTTAATCATGGTTTGCAATAACTTTGATGAAAGTTAATAGAGCGTTGAAACCGTTATACCGCAATTTAATATGTGCAACTAACAATAACGAAAACAATAAAAGCCACATTATGACTGACCCTTATGCCTGGTGCAAAATTTTCCACAACGAATTCCGCCGTTTTTGAAACTATTAAAGGATAATCGCTTCTTGATATTAAAAGTAAGACATGAATTTTTTAATTTAAAAAGTTTTTAACTTAAAACAAAGTTAATTTTTGATTGCAATTCAGCTTTTATAAAAATACAGGGTTCTCCATTTTGTGATTCCAAAAGTAAACCAAAGTAAATTACAATTGTGATTCACATATTATTCAAATTTTGGTTTCAAGCCTTATTGTAACTTGCCCTTTAGTGTGAAATTCAACTTTATTAAAAATTTATTACGAACACTATACAGTACTGCAAGCTTTGAAATTACTCGTCCGAGAAATTCTCGAAGAACCAAATCAAACAAGTATATATTGCATGTCTCTGAGAAGCCGTCTTCTTTACACTATATATCTTATATGTAAATTATATTTACATCTCCCACATTTTTATTCAATTTCGCGCCATCAGAATTGATAGTCGAAACCACGCCTTACACATTTTCAAAATAGTACAGGCCTATTACACATCCAGATCAACTGCAGCACCATACAGAAACTCTCTTCTTCTAGATTCTTCTAGATTTCCAGATGCGATAATTTTGTTTGCCAAATATACACCAAGCCAAGAAAAGAACTCATCGCTGAAGAATAATTGAAGCCTAAATGCTGAATTTGGATATTTTTACATGCTTAACTTTAATGTCAAGAATTATAGAATTTAACGACGTTAACGAAAATCAGAACACCAATTTTTCATCTAATGGAATTTATAAAAGTTAAAAATGTTTTAGAAATATTATAATAGACTTCCAAAATACAGATTTGTAAGCTGTTTTCGTAAATAATTAGTTATCTATCTATCGTACACCATTTTATAGTTCAATACAGTAAGGTTGTTAGATATATCATTTTCTTGTTCGATATATATAACAGATGTTATAAAAATTTTTGATAAGCATCTAAAGGATCAAACGTTTAGTCTTAATTTGATTTTGCATACAAATTTTCTTGTTCCTAAAAAATCACTTTAAATTCAATGACAAAAGTGTGTATGCTAGCTCAGCTCTTAAGTGTGCTGTGAAACTGGCCTTACAAACAGAATATGCTTAAAACACTAAATTCTCTCTCAAAGATTTGTATTAAACAAAATTACAGAACAAGCCTAAGTTTCAAGATTAATACAGAAACACGGATTTTTTACAATATAAAGACAAGACAATATAAAATTCCTAATAGCATACTAAAAAAGTTTTACAAAAACCACTGGTATCAAAAGTAAAAGGAAGATACATAAGTGTCGCATTGCATAACAAACTAATATCTGTAGGAAAACCTTATAGTAAAACATACACTATACTAACATACTGAATATGTTCAGCGATTGCATTCTATTCCATGATGTTTTCATATTTGGGGCACAAATAAAAAAGTAAAATATATGAGGTTACTAGAATAATAAACTCAGTCATCTGTAAAAAAATTGCTTTCAGGCTAATTTAATGCGGGTAGTCCTGTATGTGGAATTTTTTCAAAAAATGTGGCAAGCAATTTGAAATCAATTTAAAGCTGTGTTTTAAACAAAGTACTACATCAAGCCCAGTTAATAATCATGTTATAAGCCAAATTTAAGAAGTTCTGGTAGTAGAAACAAGATATTCGACTTAATGAATAACTCATAGATTGGAACGAAAGTATTATCTGCCGGAAACTGCTTAAAGAATTATACTGGCAACCATACATCAAAAGCAAAGTCTTAACTAGACTATATTCCGAAGATAAGCAATACATGTTTTAAGTTTTCAAAGCATGAAAGTAAGGTAACTAATAAACTTAGAAAGCAGCACACGCTATTACCACAGAGCAATAAGATTGACATCAATATACAACATACACACCTACAATGATTTGGCGCAATATTTAAGAAAAATGCAAAGTACTGATAGCACAAGCAAGTCTGTAGTCATTCATTAAAATAATTTATCGAATATGTGTTTTCTGTTCCATGCAAAGGCTCCAGATAAGGATTGGTACACTATATATAGCCCAAATCATGATTACGAACAAGTTAAAATTAGATTATATATTTTGGAATAATTAAAACAATGCATATTGCCGAATATTGAAAATGACTATATCTCCCGCCATACTACAAAGTTATTTCTTTTCTGGGGCCAAGACATTACTAGTTATGAAAATAAGCTCAAAAACAGTATGCAACGATGATGAAGAAAAAATTGTATTATTGTATTAAACATTAGCCGCAATCAACCATACTTGTTTGGAGCTCATATACGCTTCCAATTTATAGGTAGTCTATATAGCTATATAACACATATAGCTATATACACTATTGTAGTATTGTCAATTTCATTTCCAGTGTTACACACCTTCTGTCCTTACATTTCTGTTTTTCAGCAAACTATATTATAAGCTTAAATAATGAAATCAATGTCAAATATTTTGGGTTACATCTTAAACCTTCAAAATAAATTATTCTTTTCTGAATAGATATAAAAGTTTGAATAACTGTGCATAAAAAGGTTATATACCAGAAAACAAAAACGAGGCATAATTTTAACACTCAGAGTATACTCATAAAAAAACCAAATCTAAATGCCTGTAAATGTTTTTTTCACACACTACTCATATGCATTCACATTCGCCACAGAAATGAGTCATAACTTTTGTTCTTAACGAATGTCCCTGCTAATGAATCTGCACAAAAATGCGTACACATTTCTAAGTAGAGTAGCATAAATGACAAATAATTCATAAATCATACCATATACTTAAGTGAGTATGAATATATTCATTGAAAGTGAATGACTCAAATGACTTGTACCATTCGTAATGATTTTGTGCGAGCGCTGTTGTTTGCTAAGCAAAAAAATTTGCGTGCTTAGTTTTATGCTTTTGGTGTGTGTGTGTTGTTGTTCTTAGCAGTGTAAATCCATGTGTTTTGTTTGTGTTCTTGAATATTTCATGTACATAAAATTACAACAAGCAAATTTTTCCCGACTGTTATGTAATACTCATGAATGATTTACTAATCAATTACATCACTATTGTTTCAAATGTCGATATTTATGAGTATCATATGAACAGAGTATAACTTATCATATGTCCTTTCAGTTGTATGTATGAATCAGGCGGAGTCTAATATACAAAAAGAGAGTCAGAATGCATATAAATGAAACACAATCAATGATTCGAGTATGATTCGATTGATTCGATGTTGAAGTACTCATTGCAGGTCTCTGTTATACACATAACGAAGACAAATTTGGAGGATTTGTAACTTTCAGTTGTTGCTAAATTAAAATATTTTATTCAAAATCAGTAACAATTAAATATTTCTA